GTGTTTCTTAATTTTCACACTGTTGAATTAAATAAACATAATGTAGGAATTATACATTTTCTATGACAATCTTTACATGACAACTCAGGGAAAAACAACACTAACATTTCATATCTCACTTTAAAATCCTGAACTGAAATTTATGATTTTAAGTTAATAAAGAAAATACTATAAATTCTAACATTATTTTGAGAACTATATTTGTAACAATTTAAGTTTCTATACTCTGTCTACACTGCCTAACCACAAACTCTGTGAGAGTAAATCGAGTAAGCTAAAGAAAGGCATTCCACTTAACAAACTGGGTTCTTTAACACAAACTGACGTATTTCCGTACATATTTATAAGGCTTGGTGGTTATTATTAGGCTGTAATTGCAGTTGTTCTAACACCTAATAAGCCATGGTTGGAAAAACAAAGGCAGGTTAATTTGTGATTTCCTCTACTCATTCAGAGGCAAATTAAGTGTCAAACAGCTAATACAGAGCATATTTCATTTTATGAGATTTTAATTTAATTCTGCGCCATATCGTTGATGCCTTAATATAGGGTGGTTTATCTAAAAAGAGGAGCAATTTATAAACCTCTTTCAATAGAATCATTAATGATAGGATATGATAGCATAATTATCGCAGTGCCTGCCATCCTTCTAAACAGAGATCTGTTGGCATTTCCATCATCAACACACATCCTGTTTCCAAGAGACTTACCATTTAATTCGTTACACTGGCACCAGAATAATCATGTGTATGAAACAGTGAGACTATCCCCCAATTTTGTCTACTTACAATTAAAAATATTTATTTTAAAAAATCAGTAAGCTAACTTGATTTCATTGTCTAGAAGCTAATTATAAAGCAAGCATTTTGGAATTCAACTTCTAGATAAAATCCTTTTACTTTTCCAGGTTATCCTCTAAGCAAAGATGTACTTTGAAGATTTCAGTAACCAAGTCATACTCACCTACATTACCCTCCACTCCTAAAATGATCTGTCACAGGCATATCTACATTTACATCTAAGAAGGTGCCAAAGCATCCCAGGGATTCAGGATTGAGCCAGGCCAGAACAGAATCTCTGAGTGTTTGTCATGCCCCCAATTGTCTGGATGCTAACTCTCCACATTTGCTTAGAGCATCCTGCTTTCAAGGATGCTCACAAGGGTGCTAACAAGAACATGATTTCACTGAACTCTTTGAGTTGCAATTTGGAGAGTCAGGTAAGGCAGGTAACTTTATTTTCATGGAATGGTACTAATATATGGAAATTGTAGGTTGTCAATTCCCAGCACCAACAAAGTGCAAAGCAAGAGCACAATTCAAGTTCTTTGACTGCTAGTCTGCTGTTTCCAGACTGGACCCTTTGAAGGTCTGTGGAGCATATTTAACTAGGCACCTGAACAAGTGACTGCCTGCAAATCTAGCAGGTACGGTGACCGCTAAGCAATGACCTGTCAGACAAGAATATTGGGCTGCAATAAAGGCACACAAGGTGCTTGAGGAACATCCTCTATGAACAACCTTTGAGACTGCCCGCAAAGGTGATATTTGAAATAGGCCTTGAGGGACTTCCCTACAGGTTCAGTAGTTAAGACTCTGCGCTTCCACTGCAAGGGGTGCAGATTCACTCTCCGGTCGGGAAACTAAGATCACATGCTGCTTGGCAAAAAAATAGAAAAAAAAAAAAAAAGAGAGAGAATGAGTTAGGCCTTGAGGGTAAGGAGTTTAAGCAGCAGCTTGCCATGCAGGGAGGGAAGACCACTGAGGGTAATGCAGGGAGAATGTCACGTTATAAAAACACAGAGATGAGACTACCCCCAGCTTCCCAGAGACTACTTCGTAAGTTCAGTGTCTCCACCCAGAACTCTGCAATGCCCAGCAGTCCCAGGAGACAATGACATCCTCCCAGCACCTTCCAGAGCTTCTCTTTGGAGCTCCAGGATTATCTACCAGCCTTACAGGATGAATCTTAGGTTACTAAACATTTAGGCAGCTAGAGAACAATTTAGTCAATTACTGCTAAATGATCCTAAAGCTTGGCTGAAAAAGCAGGAAGTATAATCATCTCTCAGTATCTGAAGGGTTCCAGGACTATCACAGATACCAAAATCCATGGATCGTCAAATCCTTTACATAAAAAGGCATAGTGTTTGCGTATAACCCATGCACGCTTTCCTGGAAACTTCAATCATCTCTGGCTTACTTACAGTACCCAATACAATGGAAATGCTACAACAATAGTTGCCAGTGTGCTGGAAATTCAAGTGTTGCTTTTTGCAACTTTCTGAAGTTTGCTTCTCCAATATTTCTAATCCAAGGTTGGTTGAATCCTCAAATGCAGAACCCCCCAAAGATACAACGGGTCAACAATACTAAAATCTACAAAAATCCCAGCTCAGCAGCCATATAGGAAATGCAACCCTCTCCCCTGGGATTCTCCAAACTTGACCTGTCTTATCCCGTGGTGTTTTTATCTCTAGCAAGCTATTCCTTAGATACGGCAATTAGGACCTAGAACAAACAGTGATCTATACACTATAGGGCTTGCTATTCTTACAATTCTGCCAAAGAACCAAGACTTGGGGTTTTAATTGACAAATTCACATTTGAATTTAACTACAAGGCAAACTATAATGAACCCAGAGGAATTAGTTCATTTTATCATCTTGTTGTTGTTTAGTGGCTAAGTCGTGTCAGACTCCTTGCAACACCACAGGCTCCTCTGTCCATGGGATTTCCCAAGCAAGAATACTGGAGTGGGTTGCCATTTCCTTCTCCAGGGCATCTTCCCAACCCAGGGATCGAACCCAAGTCTCCTGCATTGGCAGGCAGATTCTTTGGCTGTGGGCCACCAGGGAAGCCCTCATTCTATCATATGAATTCATTTTCTGAAATTTCTCTATGAGTTTTGAAAGAGTGAAGTACTCTGAAATTCCATAGAAAATCTGATCCAAAGTACTTCATCATTGCAGAGACTTGAATCTGGGTGAAATCAGTCCTGTGCATCTCCCAGGTTCGGTGGGCCCTTCCTGGTTCTGTACCATACAGCACATCCTCATCTGAGAAGCTTGGGTCCCATCGGTACTGCAGAACTTTGGGAGAGCAGGATGAATTCCATGGCATATTTCAGCCTGAATTTGGAGTTTTCTTCCCTTTGTAAAGGGAGCTTTAAATGGGCCTGTTGGTTTTATCTGAATGTATTTTTAGCAGGCTTTAGAACTTCTGAAAATACTTACTCATGTTCCAGTGTAAAGTCAAAGAATAAGTCACAAGTTTCTGCATTCTCTCTAAATATCCACTTCTCCTTTAATGCTTATAGAAGTCTGAGCACAGATTTATGACTTACCTCCAGGCAAATCTGCTCTGAAATTACAGTTCAGTAATGGGAGATGGATCCAAAAAACTGTGGGTAAAATATTATATGTGTACTTGGGCATATAGTTAGGGCTGTTAATATCAATTAATTCTGTTCACAGAGGAGGACTTGTTTTAAAACAACTTCATTTTTCTTTGACGTATATGTAATTACACAGCTGTAACGAATAGCCAGAGAGATGCAATCTACCATCCAAATAACTAGCATTATTCTTCAAAGTATTTTTGGGGCTTTCTAACTTTACTGTCTCAGAATGAAGGGTAATTACCAGACATGACTAAATGTAAAATCTAGGCCATTCAAAGGGCCAGCCCCTCCCAAAGGTTGACTCCCCTTGTTATAGTACACATCAGTTTTCTGGACAACACTACAAAAGAAGGTCATTTCAGTTTAGGTACAGGCTATCCTGAACACCTGATCTTCTTTCCCTCCAAACTGAGTGATACCACATTTATTTCCAGGACATTGTCTTCTTCTTTTTTTAATATTTATTTTATATTAGAGAATAGTTAATTAACAATGCTGTATTAAATTCAGGTGCATAGCAAAGTTACATATACACATATATCTACTTTTTTTCAAATTCTTTTCCTGTTTAGGTTATTACAGAATATTTGGAAGAGTTCCCAGTGCTATACAGTAGGTCCTTGTTGCTTATTTATTTTATATATAGTAGTATGCATGTTAGGGATTCCTTGGTGGCTTAGACAGTAAAGCGTCTGCCAGCAATGCGGGAGACCCAAGTTTGATCCCTGGGTTGGGAATATCCGATCCCCTGGAGAAGGAAATGGCAACCCACTCCAGTACTCTAGCCTAGAAAATTCCATGGATGGAGGAGCCTGGTGGGCTACAGTCCATGGGGTCACAAAGAGTCGGACACGACTGAGCGACTTCACCATGTATATGTTAATCCCAAAGTCCTAATTTATCTCCCCCCACCTTTGGTGACCATAAGTTTGTTTTCTATGTCTAAGAGTCTGTTTTGCAAATAAGTTAATTCATATCGTTTTATTTTAAATTCTGCATATAAGTAATATCATATGATATCTGTCTTTTCTTCCTTTTCTAATGGATGTTAGTTATCACCCTCACCCTTGCCTTTTATCTCTGTGTAAACCATGTGCTCGATCACATTTGCCATTTTGTTTGGGTGACATTCCCATCAATCAAGTGACTGTTGGAGTAGATACCACAGGAGCTATGAAAATTTACCATGAAAATTTCATTATGACTCATTGTGATCCCTGGAACAGGGCTTTCCCATTAATAGAAATTGGAGCATGAGAAACTTCAAATCCACTCTTGACCAAATACATATTCTGAGAGGGAACCTTCCATTAGGCCTCTGCTTTTTAATTTAGTATTTAGAGGCCACAGAGCACAGGTCAGCAAAAATATATAGGAAATACTTGCCAGCCACCTCGTATGACAGGCATTCTTCAGGAAGCAGCGGGGATGTGCTTCAGTGAGTCCAGGAACAGATAGGCTTGCCATTTTTCAAAAGTAAATCTTAGACTTCTATCACAGCTCCCAAGCCCAGTAGCTGTGTTGGTAACAAAAACCCTGAGATGGTAAAAGCCAATATTTTGTTCTGTTTCTTTAATGGGCAAAGTTGTAATACTTACACATGCAACGGAGGGATCGGAGATGGATCATAATGGTAACGGCCCTCGTGGTGTCTGGCGTCAATTGGTACAGGAGGATGGAATGCAGGAAAGAGATGAGGAGGGTCTGAAAAGGAAAGAAAGTCCAACCTGTATAAACAGAACACTTTGAAACAGAATTCCCATACATGAAGCCACATCACCACATTGTCTTCACAACTGAGGCTGAAATTAACCTGAATTTGTGGAAGAATTCTTGAAAGTTCAGGACCAAGCAAATAATACCAGCAAATGAGATAGTACAGCCACTGACTGCAACCTGAACCCAGACAGGAGAGCAAGAAAGAGGTACAACACATGCCCCTCGCCTGGAAGAAAGACTGGCCAGAGTGCAAAGGCTGAAGGAAGCCACCAAGCCAAGAGGAAGAGACTCTAAAACACTTTTATTTGCATTTATTGTTTTGGCCGCATCACATGGCTCGTGGGATGTTAGTTTCCCAACGAGTGACTGAACCCAGATGCTCAGCGATGAAGGTTTGGAGAGTCTTGACCACGCAGCCACCAGGGAATGCCTCATTTTTTATTTTTAAAAAGACACTGTCATGTGAATTTTAATATTTTATTTATTTATTTGGCTGTGCCCGGACTTAGTTGTGGTATGCAGGCTTTTCAGTTGCAGCATGTGGACTGTAGTTCCCTGACCAGGGATCGAACCCACACCCCCTTGCACTGGGAGCTCGTTAACCACCAGGGAAGTTCTGTGCAGTGAATTTTTCTAGTTTTCATCTCTTCCACACTTGTAAGGAAAGGAGTTCTGTCAAAAGTCTCTGCTAGAATCCATGTCACATGTAGACACACACACACACTTTTAAAAAATTCAAATGCATGCTCCCTCCCACTCCTCCTTCTCCTAGGTCAGGCTTCCAGAATCCCAACACAAGGGCAGCAAATGTATAGGTTGGCCAGAGATGTTACATGGCCTGACAGAGGGACATTTGGAGTAAACCCGGGGTTCCTTTCCTGCAGCCCCAACATTCCCCTTGGACCAACATTCCCTTGGCCTCCTCTCCTGCTCTGGCTCAGGTCAGGCATCACTGTTTTGAGGTTTCTGTGTGTATTTGTGTACACTTACTTAAAATAGTTCTTCTGCTCCCACTGGCCCTGATTATCTCTGACAAATCTGAAAATAAACTTTTTTTTTTCCTAAATAGTGATTCACTGAAAGAACTGAAAATAGCTTTACCAGATTTTATCATGAGGAGCACCCCTGATACTAAAGTTTTTCCTGAGTTTCAAGAAGCAATAAAGACAGAAGTCCAAAATCAGGAGGGGAGCCTTCACAACTTTGAGGCGATAAAACAGCAAATACCCCAGAACTTGTGTTGTGAATGTCACCTTCCATACGTGGTCATCCTGGCAGCCTGCATGTATCTGTCACACTGCTGTTGCCCAGAACACTCCCAAGAATTGATGTGTACACCAAACAGGCCTCAGAAGGGCTGTGAGCTCCTTCGAAAAGTCTGAAGGTTTTGCCTAGTGTAGTAGGTGGTAAAAGCAATTCCAAATGAGACCCTGTGAACAGGCCCTGAGGAATGGCTGGAAAAAGTGACACAGAACCTCCCCATGGGGCAGGGGAGTGGGGTGTCAAACATAGACAAGGGTATGGTTGCATCCTCCACTGTGAGTTTCCATAAGTCCTGGGGGTGACTATTATACATGTGTTTGTTGAATTCAAGTAGTTTTCATTTTCCTCCCTATATATTTCTCTTGTCCAGATTTTCTCCGACAAGCATCTTTTAGAATGTAAATATAAAACCTTTTTTTTAAAAAAAGATGTTTTACTCCCCCCCTCCCCCCCCCCCTTTTTTTAAAGATTTTCCTCCTGCTGGCCTCCTTTGAGAATCTAAGAATATGATTAGGAGAGTAAAATAAGAGAGAAAAACTATTAACGTACAACATTACAGCCCTGACAGCACTACGGAGGTGCCCAAAGCTGAACTCCACCAGGTACAGAACCCAGAAGAGGTTCTACAGTGCAGAAAATGTCCATTACTCACCGGATTTTGTACTTGCTTTTTATAAGATAAGGGGGGGAGGGAATGGTACTGATAGAAGAAAGGAGTCATCTTGGTATTGTCTCATATCATTGACACTGTGATATCATGATGTACAATGATGCTGAAAATTCAACAGGGACACGCTGACTGCCTGATCAAACGCTACACATTTTATAAAGTGCATCTGAAAAATTCAGTTATATTTTAAATACATCACTTAGGACATTATAAAAGGATGTCGGAATTGTTTTGTTTTGCTTTGTTTTGTAACACAAATCTTGCTAGTTGGTGCACTAAGTTTAAATGTCCCACATAGCCCAGGAATCCTGCAGAGCCCAAATGTCCTATTTCATTTAACTATTCTGGAAGAAACAGATGTATCCTTCCTAAAACAACATAAAATTGAGTGTAGTAATCTATTTCATGAATTTGAAAGTCTGACGTCTACTCAGTGAATGTTTCATGGTCTTCAGTTTTGAGCAATCCCAAATGAATCACTGCGGTTCGGGGTCAGGTGGATGGCCAGCAGGCCCAGGCATGGTTCTCTCTTGTCCCCTCCTGTTAGCAGTCACTGCTGATGCTCATGGGCTTTCCTCTAGCAGACTTCAAACTTAACAGTCATCCATTCTTGGAAACTGGAGAAATAAACCTACTAGAACTTGGTGTAAATTAAGTATTCATACCATCTGACCCACCTCCTCAAGTTTTTCCTATGCATCATTTTAAATGGTGTCTTGAGGGACTTTGTGACAATTCTGTCTGACCTGGAAGATATTTTCACTTATTTACTTCTTGGTTCTTGGCTGTGTGATTAAATCCTCTCCACCAGATAACTGGGTGCTAACTATATCTGCTTTTCTCCATGTGGGTGCAGCTATGAATTATGAAGATGCACAAACCCAGATTTTTTCATACACACAAGAGCTCAAAATGTGGGCAGGTATTATACCTTCAAAATATGCCTCAATATATCCAAAAAGTAACAGTCATTATCTTTTATATAAGTATTTATAATTATGTTGCAGTGATTATATGCATAGGGGGTGAAAACCAGGCACACAGTTCTATAAAATCAAAAACATTTACCCAAGCAGTATAAATCTTCATCTCCAGGGAAAACTGCAAGACGCTTATGGACATATAAAAGGCAGTATCATCTTTATATTTTTAAGAAATTATTTTAACAGGATTTTAACCCACTGTCTCTTTCTCTCTCTCACGCTCTTCCTTTTCAAAATGAGAGAGAAAATGCCCAAGCATTGCAAAAATATTTAAAAGGAAAGAATTTAGGATTAGAATTAGTAATTATTGGGGCATTTAGTAGTTATTTCCCACTGTTGAGTATGTTTTGTGAGTTTAAAAGTTAATTCTGACAAAGTATGTGATACATCTTACAGCATTGTTTGCTCAAAGTATTTATTTATATTACAAGAAAATTCATGAATCCTGCATTCTGGAATCAGGTTAAATAAAGAACCAAAAATATGAATATGCTCTGACTTGATCAAAGACATCTGATTTTAATTTAAGTATTTTCATTCCTATTTGTTTCCTTCTTGCTTTAGTTGAAAATAACTTCTCCTGGACTGATAAAGTCTGTGCAAACAATTACACCTCATGTCAGTTATCAGTGGAAATCACACCTCTTAAGCCGCTTTCTAGTAAACGCAATGGAACAGCTCTCTTCCAATTCAAGACACGCTTGACCACAGCTTAACAGCAGAGACGAAGCATAAAAATCAGGACAAGCATGTCCTTTAACATATGTGGCATCACATGACATTAATCCTAACACATCTCTCAAAAAAAAAAAAAGAAGATGCTGGCGAATCCTCAAACGTGGAGTGCTTCTCTCGCATCTCGGCTCGTCGCTTCTATGTGGAAGATCGCAGTATACTCCATCAGAGGCCCAAGAAGCTGTCCAAGAAAACCCACAGGACGAGAACAGGCTGGTGTCGCCAGCAGCCACCATAATTATCCACCTCCCAGTTTATTATTTACACATGAGCAGCACAGCTGTGGAGCGTCATAACTCAAGAGGATGTGTAATAAGTTACCGCACCGCAGCCATCTCCTGCTCTGGCCCTTGACAAAACACCACATGATGACTTTTCCAAAGTCAGGCGAAAACTGCTGAAGCAGAAGGAAGTGCCACTAAACCTGGCTCCCTCCTATTTATCATACAATTTCCTGACTGATGGCTCCACAAACCAGCTGCTAAGTGCTGTGTACTATGCTGTCAGCAAACTAACGGGCTAAATGGGAGACAGGGAGAATAATGTGCAGAACTGGGGGAATCAATTTTACTGAAGGAATTAAAATTCTACCAGGTGGGGGTAAGTCTGTGGAGCAGTGGGAAGCAGTCAACTGTCCATGCTTTGGGTTGCAAAGATGATTTATTACAGACTCGCAAGGGGTTTGACTATTGGACCAAATGCCTCTTAGACTAAAGGGAGATTTGCCAAGTGCGTATTATCCGAGGCGCGAGTGGAAGAGTCTTTAAACCCCATAAATATGTAATTGGCTTGACGCATGTTTAAATTGAAATGCATAGTAACAATATTTACGCTGGGTATAATTGTTGGTATTCAATTTCATGCTGGCTGTCATCAGGCTGTGCATTGAGGGTCTCATTAGGAATGAGAGGCATTGATTTTTGGGTCTCCTTACAATAGCCTGGGTTGATCATAAAACCTGTAGCCAGAGAAAGACACTCAGAGGTTTATCTTCAGTTGTTGCGTCCTTCTCTCAAGAAATAGTTTTAATATCCTCAGGCTATGAGATCTCTTGGATGCCATTTGGGGAGACTGTCTTTTAAGGTTTTAAATTTACATACAAAAATTGTAGATTAAAAAAGAGAGATCAAAGGCAGCTACATTAGTGCCCTGAAGGAGTAATTCACCAAATGATACTTTAGTGGCCTGAAAGTGCCCAGGAAACAGTATGAGAGGGCCCACAAGAGTAAAACGCCCAGGGCATAAATTCTCTTGGCTTATTTAAATCCTGAAGTCATCTGTTCACTGACTTTGGAATTTATTCTAGACGAGAACTAGAAATTATTTTTCTTGTC